CATCACCCCTCTTATGGACATTAGGCCTAAATTTACAGACAACTGATTCAGAAAACACTTTCACGTTAATAATGAATCTTTTTTTTTCTGCAAGTTGAAATTTGTTTAATACCATTTAAGTTATGCTGTTATTCTGTTCTCCCAGGCCTAATGCCTTCTGATTCTTTTCTTGAAGAAAGTATTTGTGATGTGTTAGTTCTCGGCTTCTGTATAAGTGACAAATCTTTGACTTTTTTCATTCCTTCTTCCTGATCCAAATTTTCCAAAACATTTTTTCTTTTTTTCTTTCTTTACTTTTTTCCTTCTTTGCTTTGAACTTATCAGTTATTATAGATATATTGATTTCATTTAAAGAATTTTTACGGCGTGCTTTGTACAATTTCATAGGTTCATAAACTAAGACCTGGAAGGGAGAGACTGCTGAGGTCATCTCATCCAATCCAAACATTTTACAGATGAGGAAAGTAGGGCGCAGAGGTATTATGTGACTTGCTCAAAGCCACACTGCTAGTAAGTACAAGAGCCAGAATTTGTAACATGCTCCTCTGATATCAAACTCTAGTGTTCTTTGAAGCATAGAGAAAGACAAATTCTGTCTTCACCAGCAACAGATGGTAGTGTGTAAGCTTTGATTATTTTCATGGTGGGTGGTCTTTTTACAGAGATTTAATCATGGGGACTACAATACCAGAGAACCAAATTTCCCCATGAAATTATGTTTCTTGCAGCCTTTGGACATATTCTTAAAACAGCTTTGCCAGTCCATTCATCTGCTTCTCCAAGAGAACTGTAACTCAACTTTCCATGTAGCTGCAAATCCCTTCTATCTTCTGGTTTAATGTATGACAGAATGTCAAGACTGACATGACTTATTTCTTCCAAGTAGAATTTTTTGCTTGTTGGCACTGGACAAGGATCTTACATAGTACCTGGAGTTTATAGATAGGGAAAGTTTATAGATGGTCTAAAAACTGTATAATTCTTAGCACCCTTTGCTCCCCTTTCTTTTCCTTGCCACTGTCATTACAGAAATAGAAAGGAATACCACAGGACTTAGGACCATTTTGCATCATGCTTTGTTTTGTTTTATGAGTTTCCATGGCCAAAGAATTCATCAGGCTTTCCCTCCTTAACTAGACTGGTACCGGGAAAGCTAACTCAAAACCTTTTCAGTTTTCTAAACCCTGCAAGAGGTTGCAGGTCACCACTATGCCATTATGAGCCATTAATTTTCATGATATACTTTGTTTAAAAGACCTTCTTTAGGAAATAAAATTTAGCTACCATGAAGATGAAGTTCAGTGATTTGGGTCAACAGAAATATTTTGACCTTTAAAAGAAAATCAAAGGGAGAGAGGTAGGGTGGTGGTAATGCGCTCAGGATAGGGATAGGAGGAGCAGAGAGGGGACAGGGAATGCTTACAACAGCAGGTATAAGGAGAAGAACCAGTGACTGCTCAATTGAGAGATGGGTAGTGGTGGGGGAGGGGTGGAAAGAAGCTGAAAGGAACTGTTAACAGAACAGTGTGGTTGAGGAGCGAGATAGAGTTCCAAGCTTGGAGTGTGTTGAAATAGGAGTTCCAGTCCCTGCTGTTGCTACTTCTAAATCTCAGTTTCCTCATCAGTGCAGTGACCCTAAAAAATATCGCTGTTACCTGCTTCACAGGTTTGGCGTGTCATTCTTTGCAAAAACTATTATTTTTCCTTCTGTGTGAGTTGAGAATTGAGATCTAATTCCTGGGATTGGAGACAGTAAATGAAGAGGGGACACTAGGGCTTCCATACATCACATTTAGGCCTAAGAAGTACTGTACCCTGACCATATGTGTTCAGTTTCTTTTGTTGATCATTTCTTGAGTATCCTTTTAAGACCTTTAAGTAGAGAGTCCTCTCCCTGCCCCAAATAATTATGTTCACTTCCCATAGAAGTATTCTTGTACTAAATGATTGAGATAGTAAAGTGCTAGGACCTTATGGGCTGTGTGACCTTGGGTACCCTCAGTTTCCTCTACAAAATGATGGCTTCTAAGATCCCTTCAAGCTCTAAGCCTATGATCCTATGAGTCCTATGCACCACATCATAACTTCAAGGCGCTCCCGTGGAAATCTGATGTCTTTTTGAAACTTCATTGAGTCGATTGATGGGTAGAGGTGGGCATGTAGTGGTGCAGAACATGCTTGAGAACAAGGCTGTTCTTTAGAAATGAATCTAACAGTACTTCAACAGAGGCAACCATAATTCCCACTACCTGGATCTTCCACTTGGTTAGAATATTCCTTATTTATCCCAGAAAACTCTGTGCTCATTGCTCATGGTTTCCATCAGTCTGGACCATCTTCTTTTTTCCCCTTTCCATTACCTAATCCTGTTACCATCCATTACCCTTCTTTCAAGGCTCAGCTCGCATCCTTCCTTCTCTCAGCCCACCATGCATTCCCTCCTCAGAGCTGCCTTGCCACTTGAGCTCATACAGCATGATTTAGCTCTTAATGGGACAGTTCTGTCTTCCCAATGAGATTAGAAGCCCTGTGTGAAGAAGGCAGGTCCCGTGTCTTGATCTTCTTTGTGACCTAGCACTTTACCTATGAAGAGAGAATAAAAATATGGTATAATAGAAAGAACGTTGAATTGAATGAAACCTAGCTCTGCCAGTAAAATAAGCGGTTGAACTATATAGAGACCTACGTGGCTTCTTGATTCCCTTCTAGCTCTGTATCCGTGGTCCTAAGATCCTAATAGCAGTGTTTTGCATTTAACGTACACTCAGAGATTCATGGAATGAAGGAATGAATGATTTTCTTTTTTACTCTTAAGTTTCAAGTGCAGTCCTAGGCACAAGGAATAAATTAAATATTTATTTGAGCATCAACCAATATTGCAGTTCAGAGGATAATTTGATTATAAATATAACTTTTGATGTGTCTAACATATTTAAGTTGTTGTTGCTCACATTGAATTATAATTGCCCTTAATATAAGCTTTCACTTACGGCACTTTGATTAACTGTACAAGTGAATCTCACTTTATGCAATAGATACAACTCTGAAACATTGTACCTAAATAGAATTGGCTTGGTGGACAGTGCTGGACTTGGAGTCAGGAAGGCCTGGGTTCGAACCTTGCCTCTGACACTTCCTAGCTGTGTGACCATGGGTAAGTCACTTAACCTCTCTTGAATCTCAGTATCCTCATCTATAATATGGGTATAATAATACCTGTAGTACTTGCCTCCCAGGGTTGTTGTGAGGTTCTAATGGGATAATGTGTGTGAAGCACTCTAAAGCTTTAAAGCACTATGTATGTGGAAATAAGTTATTATTGTTATTATTGTCATCTTATTCTTCTCTTATTATCAGTCTTGTTCTCATCTTTTTCTGTGGAGGTCAGATAGAAACAGTCCTGGGACAAGTTACTATCATACTATTATTCTTTTATATTTAATGTTCTGCAAACTATTGCAAAGGCATATATAAAATAACTGCTTTTTTATAATTAAATTAAGAAAATATTGGGATGTAAGTTCATCTTCTGTAGGCTTATTAAAAGTGTCTTGGGGACAATTCTACTAGCAGCCAAGATTATGGGGATGATGATGATGATGGTATTGTTGTTGATGATGATAATTGCTATTATTAACAATTTGAGTGTACTATGGAAATATTTGTGTGATTCTTTGAACTTTCTGCCTCCTTTCCTGCCTCTCTGCTGCTGCCGTTACAGAAGTAGGTGGCTGCTGCCTGAATGTCTGAATGACTGAAAGTCATTTGGTGTTTTCTTCTTCTGTTTCCTATATTGCCGTAGTCAAAGAATTCATCACCTAGTGGCCAGCCAACTGGTGATGAGCCTTTTCCATTCTTAGCCTCCTTTCCTAATACTCGGCTATTGCCTCTGCTGAAAGCAGATGGCTGCTGCATGGTACTGAAGGCCATTTTGTATTTTCTTCATTGGTTTCTTGCATTTTCATGGCTAGAGAATTCATCATCTAGTGGCCAGCCAACTGGTGATGTGCCTTTTCCATGCTTAGTTAGATTGGTTCTCAGATAGCAGATATTGTCTGTCCTTGGAATTGTTCTCAAAACCCTTTGAGTTTAGTAGAATCTGCCAGAGTTTGAACTCTTCTTCCATAGATGTCAAGAATCCAAGGTCATCTCCATTTCACAGTGAGGAATAGGACTTACTCAGAGGATGCTGAATGGGACATCCTCCGTGATGGTGCCAAACACTGTTGTGGAGTATGCATGTCCCTATTTTATTCCTTAATTGATAATGCTAATTACAGGCAGCATAGCCCAGTGGTTAGAGAACTGGAATACTTGGACTTTGACACATGCTGGCTGTGTGACCCTAGGTGAGTCACTTAGCCTTTTAGTGCTCTAGACAAGTCTCTGAGACTATAAGTTGCAAAAACAGTTGATGACCTACATTGTTAGAGGGAGTTTCCTCATCTGAGAGTTTCCTATTACCAAAGAAATTACAGATCCAATCCTTTTCCTCTACCCTAATCAGAGAATCACTGAATGAAGTGGTATCTTTCAAGGAATCAAGTATGCTCTCAACCTTTGCATGGGAGACCTTGCTGAGAAGAACCTTTAAGCCTGCATTCTGCTTTCCAGAGTCCAAGGCTTCAAAAAAATTAACAAATACTATAAGATTCTTATATTCCATAGACCTTTCATTTGTGTTAGTGTGCCTGCTGGAGGAAATTGTAAAGGTCCATCTATTCCTTTTTTCATATTTTTATTATTAATCCCCTCTATAGATGTTTAGAAATTTCTCAAAAAGACTTTATAGGGCTGAGAAAGAAGCCATATGAATTGATGCCATCTCCCTTGCCTCTATGACCCACTGAGACATTGGAGGAGGACTGGTGTAGAGGCCACAGTCACTTAGATTACATATAAAACTGCCATCACTTATAAATATTTGCTTAGTGGTGGTGGTTGAGCTTTGGTCTGTAGGCCATTTGTGGTGCTGATCTTTCATTTCACTCATTTTAGGTTGCTCAGCGATGACTATGGCAAGATACAGGCCTACGTGGGACTTGGCGCTGGATCCCTTGGTGTCTTGTAAACTCTGTCTTGGGGAATATCCTTTGGAGCAGATGACAACAATAGCCCAGTGCCAATGCATCTTCTGTACCCTGGTTGGTTCTTTTGAAACATATGTTTTGAAATTATTTCAAGTAGATGGCTAGGCTTTCTTTGGGGACAGAAAGCTCTCCTGCCCTTAACACACACACACACACAAATGAGTATGAGATTCCTGTTTGCTCATTTAATTTCACAGTCATCTCTTAGGAATTTTTCTTTGAAGACAATGGAGCTTTTAAGTTCAAACTTTTTAATTCATTACTCCTTATGATGCCAAGGACATCACACAGAAAAAAAATAATTTTCAAGCACAGTTTAAAAACCCTCAGCCAGACATGGGTTCATCTATTAAAAAAACTCAATTTGACAACTACTGGCTTATTTCTAAATCTAGCTCCAGGATGGTGTTTCTGTAAAAACAAGGATAAACATTTTGGTCTCTGAAGTTGTCATAGTCTTAGTGCCAGATCAGAATGATTTTGTTATGAGATCGTAGTGAAGCTTCCATAGAATTAATTGAAACTTTGCATTTATGAGGCACTTGCTCACTGGATCCGTTTTCTTTTACTTCAATGATGTAAAGAGAATCGCCTAACAATTAGAACAATCCAGAAGTAGAATGGTCTGCCTTGGGAGGTAGTGGGCTTTACTGGAGGTTGGAGGATGACTTAGGGATGCTGGAGAGGGCATACCTGTTCAGGTAAATTAAATGGCCTCCAAGGTTGCTAATGTTTCTAAGAGTCTGCAGTTCTTTCATTGACCCCCAAACCTAAAGAGCTCTTTTTGTTTCTGTCTTGGAGAAAACAAAAACTTGTATTCAGCTAATTTCATCTAAGTGTGTTTCTCCTTCCATGTTTGTTTCTTGGATATTATTTTAATCACATGTTTGTTGCATGATACACCAGACTCTTTAAGAAGACAGAACCAAATTAAATAACAAACATAAAATGATTTTTTTTTCTGTCTTCTTCCAAGCCAGTCCATTTTGTACATTTGGCCTTATATTTTCTTATCTTTTTTTCCTCCTTTTGAAATAGTTTTAGTCAGTATGTTTGTAGATCTGATTCTTCTCATTTTTGCTTTGCATTACTTCTTAAACATCTTTTCATATTCATTAAAGGCTTCCTACTTATTTTATGGCACTATCATATTCTATTGCTTTAGGGTACCACAATTTATTCACTTAAAAACTAATTATTTGATTCTACTTCCTTTGCTATTGTAAATAGAGTAGATATATGTATGAATATACATATATAAATATTTATTACATACATGCACATACGTAATATATATGTATATTCTTGTTCAGATAGTTCTTTTTTTTTTCTTTTTAACATATGTTGGGGATAGAGTCTCAGCAATGGAATAACTAGGTAAAAAGATATGCTTGATTGTATGACTCATTCATTGTATGTTATATTGCTCTCCAAAAGGTTTGTACAATTTCACAGTCCCAGTGTGCGAGTGATTGTTTTCCCATAGCCCTAGCAACAATGAATTTTATTATTTTTTGCTATATTTACAATTCTAGTGGGTATAAAATGGCATCTTAAAGTTGTTTTTTATGCCTATAAGTTTGAGAGTATTGAGCATCCTTTCATTGTGATGTATTTAAACCTTAAAAAGTTGTCTATTCATTTATTTTAACCAGTCTTCATAATAATATGTTATTCAGTTAAACGATTCCTTATAGATTTCATACTTAGATTCCTTATATATGTCATACTTAGATCTGATGTATGTGTTTGTACATATACAAGTTTTAGTCCATATTTGTAGTTTCATTAGTGTACAGAACTCTTAGTATGGAAACTCCCATCTACTGAGGCAAGTTGGCAATTTTTCTGTAACTTATTAGAGAATTATCTGGGGTACTGGTCAAGTCACTTTTCAGGGTTTAAATAACCAATATGTAATATAGTCAGGATTTGCAAGTCAGCTTTCTATTACAAATGAGGGAATATTTGTAAAACACTATATAAATATCAGTTATTACTTTTACAGTTATTATTTCAGCAGTATGTGAATTACTTGGAACAAGCAATAATTTTGACTTTATTTCATTTTGTGATTACAGTGGTCATGCTTGTATACTTCTACTGATACTACTAGGATGACTCAGAATATTTTATCTTGGCCATATTAGGGCCAGCTGAATCGTGCAGTGGATAGAGTACCATGTCTAGAATCAAAACGACTTAAGTTCAAATCCAACCATACATTTTTCTAGTTGTGTGACCCTGGGCAAGTCACTTAACCTCTATTTGTCTCAGTTTCATCATCTGTAAAATGGGGATAATAATAGCAGCTACCTCTGAGGATTGTTGTGAGAATCAAATGAAATAATAATCATAAAGTGCTAGTGTAGTGTTTGAAACATAGTAAGTGTTATGTAAATGCTAGCTATTATTAGTAGTATTAATTATTATTATAATTGTTATACAAAGTCATATTGAGCTAGCTTCCCCGCCTTTACTTAGTTCTCTCCATTGTGTTCTAAATTTCATGCCATAGGCTCATATTCCATTGTGTTCTCTCTGTCTCTCTCTCGCTCACTCACTCTCTCTAAAATTTTATGGTTATTAAGACTGGATATAACTCCAAGGAAATACACAAAAGTTGTAGCTCTTTAAAGGTGTAGAAGAATGACTTTTAGAGATATGCTACTGACTTTTGGTGGGGAGAAGTCAAGTGTTTCAAAGGTCACCCAAGCACACAATGAAGTAAGATGTCTTACCAAAGTGTAAAGGAAATTATGGTAAAAAGAATTAATGCTGTGAACTGACAAATGATTTCTGTGAAATAGTCTGATTAATCCACAGAAACTAAGCAAAGACCTTTAGAGTGATCTGGTAGGAGGAGGGATTGCTATTGACTCCTCTGTAGTACAACTTAAGTTGGAAGACCAATGAGTAGATCAATAAAAACAAACAAAATCAGCAATAGTTACATTGCTATGAAGAAAAAATGCTTGTCATGGGCAAAGCAATACAAATACTAGAGTACTAATGACTGTTCAAATAAAAAAAGGGATTTTTTTTTTGATAAACTACACATTTTATTCAAGGCTTTATACCAAAACCATTATCAGAAGAGAACAAGGTGAGCCCATTATATTTAAGCATCTTTATCAGACTTTATCAGTAAAAGCATCCTCCCTTCAAAATGTTTGAGGATTAAAAAAAATTCCACTGGGCCTACAAGTCCTCCTCCCATGGAGGAAATGACAAAATCAGATAAATATATTGAAATATATAAGGAAAAGCATAATTGTTCTAGAATTCCAAAGATTCCTACATAGAGGAGTAGTGAAACAAATGTGTCATGTATCATGAAAGATTAGCCATGCAGCTAATTCAAGCCTTGACTGACACCACCAGCTCCCTCAGCCTCTTCTCCCCTCTGATTGGAGGGATGGAGGGTAGAAAGCCAAATTTCTTCCAATGCCTTCCTTTATATAGGGCAGAAATTGGACTTCTAGGCTCATTCCATTCTACATCTGCTGCTCGGAGTGGGTTTTCAACTCCATGGAACCAAACACCTCCCATGCTGGTACCCCTTGGTGCCTCCCTCCCATGAGATTTTAAGCTCCTTGAGGACAAGGACTGTCTTTCTTTCTATTAACTGTATCCCCTAAACATTGTAGGTGCTTAACAAAAGTTTATTGGATTGACTTTATTTTATTTCTTAAAAAATTTCTTCCCAAAGTAGAGATAACCATACTTAAATGGTCTAGGAAATTGCTTGATTTAAATGTCTTTGATATAATTCAAGCTGCGTTTGGAAAAAAAAACCAAAATGGACAGTTTGTTTGTCAGATATATTCTTCATATCCAATATAATAAAAATGCACTTTCACAATGATAAAGGATATATATCAAAGTTTTTAACTCAGTACAAAATCAGGTAAAACAAGAAATAACAGGAAAAAGAAAACATACTCCTTATGAAAAAGTATTTTAAGTAGGTAAATTTGTAAATTAATTTGCACACTATTGTACTACTACCATGCTTTTGTAACTGATATATTTACTGCATACATACCAATTTTTTCTTCTCTTTTTTTGGGGGGAAGGGAGGCAATTGGGTTTAAATGACTTGCCCAAGTCATTCACACACACACCCAGCTAGTAAGTGTCTGAGGCTGGATTTGAACTCAGGTCTTCTTGACTTCAGGGCTTGTATTCTATCCACTGCGCCACCTAGCTGCTCCCCTTTTTTTCTTCTTTTGTTATCATTTTTCACTTTTCCTTTACAAACAACAACAAAAATGTTTTGTTTTTTATTTTACAAAGGACCTTTTGAGGAAGTATATTTAACTAGTTTAGGTAAAAATTTAGACATCAGAATGTTAATCAATAAAAGTAAAGCCCTACATATGTTGATTCAAAAAATCAGCTCCACAAGTACACAATGGGGGTAAAAGTATGATCAGGATTATGAAACTACTGGAAACCAAACCAAACGAGGATCATTTGAAGGAACTGTGTATGTTTCATTTGTGGAAAAGAAATCTTGGAGATAAAAGTTGAAAGGAGTTAAGTTCTCCTTAGCTCCTGAGAGCAGAATTGGAGATCATAGGGAGAAAGATTCAGAAGAGGCAGATTTTGGATTGATATAAAGCCCATCATTTTAATACAGGTATTCTCCAAATGATGTTCTGTGCTTTGAGACATAGGGACGCTACAGTCTTTGAAGAAGTATGAAAATATCTGTCACTCAGAGGATCATGGAAAGCTCAAGATGGGTATGAGGCATCTGCAGCATATTACAAACTAGGAATTATAATAGAGAAATAGATTAAAAATATTATCACCAAAGAAATGTATTACTGAAAAAGACCCTGGACTGGGCATGTGTCAAGAGTGAGGAATAATAGATATGTAGCCAATGTGCTCATCTAGGATCCTTTTTGTGATGTCAAGAGAAAATAAGGAAGTCCTTCTTGCTTATTGGATGGATTCTTTGTCATAATACTTATAGAACATGGACATGGGCAAGAAACATATGTGATGGGCAGGCATGGATGGGTTTGACCTCCATCTTGGAG